GTGTTTTTTCGACATTAACAGAATATCAACAAAGTTTTGCGCACATTTGTAATGGAAACACAGCTAATGATTCACAACATCCATGTGTTCTTCATGGTGCGAGCAGGTCTGATTACAGTGATGATCTGTTTACCTCTGAGCTGCACAGTGGAGCAGCGGTTACAGCTGATCAAAGTAATAATGAGGAGACCAATCATTTAAATCTTGGAGGTCCTCAGCTACAGAAGGTCTTGGTTCTTTTAATTTAGCCCTGGATGAGAGAGTCCACAGCAACATACTGCAAAACAAACAAGTTCTGATTACACAACTTCAGAATCAATCCACACATGCTAACACAGCATCTACACATACTTCTGTAAACYCAGAGTGTGACCCCACGGATTCTGCGGTGCATGTGGGTCGCATCATTCCAAGGAGAATTCACAGTGGAGTCTGAAGGAGGTCACATTTACTKTCAGGTACATAAATATTGGGACATGGACACAATTCTCAYATTTTTGGCTGTAAACACCAYGATGAATAMGTAATGAAACAAACTGCAGGCTTTCAGATTTATTTTTAAGGTATTTACATCCACACCTGGGGCCTCATGTACAAAGACTTGCKTTGATTTCTTACTGAAATGTGGCGTACGGTCAAATTTGGGTGCACCTTAGGGCTGCACAATATATCGAAAATGTATCGTCATCRCGATAATARCTTGTGCAATRTGCATATCACAACAACTGCATWAACTGCAWTAAATGGTTGACTCAAAAGTTTGCATYTATKCRTTTTGTCATTCAGATGGAAGCTTGAARTATTTCACCAATCAAMTGGAGCCCTTCATGTATTTGGTCAATTAAAAAGAAAATTCAGGCTGGAATGGAAATTAGTTTTTTTAGGTTGTTTTCTTGGCTTTGAACCCAAAGCAGAAAGATATCAACACTACGTGCTTATATGTATTTGTTCATTTATCGCAAATCATATCATCATCGCAATATTAAGCACTGTTATCGCACATCGCAGGTTTTCCTAATATTGTGCAGCCCCACCTAAGAAAAAAATGTTAGGCGCTCCGGTGCAACCAGTGCAAAAAGTTAGTCTAGAGCCCTGCTCCTGCATGTACATTCAGCAGTGCTGCACAGAAAAGCTTCCCCAATGAAACGGTTTACTGGCGTAATGTTCCGGACGTGTTCAGGCTGTTTTTACTGCCAGTATTTCGATAATGTTATTGTACAGTGGTGCCTTGAGTTACAAGTTTAATTCCTTCTGAGAAGGAGCTCTTAACTCAAATTACTTGYATGTCAAATCAGTGTTCCCCATAGAAATAAACTGAAATGCCCTTAATCTGTTCTGGACCCCCAAAAAACACTGCTATTTTTTGTTACATGTTTTTATTCAGTAAAATCATTATGAATAACAAAAATTGAATAAAAATACAAAACAGAATGTATTTTCTACAATGAACTACAGAAATTTTATTAACTAAAACACTGTAAAATGTACAGCTTCAATATGGTGCAGACTGTGGAAGTGCTGCGCTCGTACTGCTTTGCTAAGTCGACTACACGCA